GAGGACGCGCACGATGGCGAGGACGCGCACGATGGTGAGGACGCGCATGGAGCCGGGTTCTATACGAGGACACAGGTGGTGCTGAGAGAGGAGGCCCTGGCTGCCCACGCGGAAGGGTGCGCCAAGCCAGCCTGGACAGGGTGTCAGGAGGAGCCCAGCGAGCTCGAGGAGGCCAAACCGAGTGGGCAGGGCAGGGCCGTCCATTGGGGAACACCGACCCGTAGAGGGCACCTGGCAGGAGACGCCGAGGATGCACTGAAGCCAGCAGCGGCCGCCAGGACCACACAGCTGTCGGGCAAGGGCGCGCAGGTCCCGGCGGCCCCAGGTCAGCCCACTGAGGCAGTCGCGGAGTGGGGCACTGAGACCTGGCCTGAGGAAGAAAGGGCCGCCCCTGTGGCCCCTCGCCAACCCCGCCCCACGCACTTTGTGGCCCTCATGGTGACCGAGCCTGGCCTACAAGCAGAGGTGGCCAAGGCCCAAGAACACCTGGTCCGAGTCGCCCCGTCCTGTGCTGCGTTCCTGGTGCCCACAGAGACCCTGCATCTCACACTGGCCCTGCTGCGACTGGCGGGCCCCGGGGAGGAAGCAGCTGCGGTTGGGGCTCTGAGACGGGCTCTCTTGGCCCCTGGACTTCAAGCACCCACAGAACTGAGGTTTAGGGACCTGGTACTCCTGGGCCACCATGTACTTTGTGCCCCACCCTCCCCCACACTGGAAAGCATGGCACGAGTTCTTGGCCAGAGGCTGGAGGCTGAGGGGCTGAGAGTGCTACAGTCCCCAGGGGGGTTGCAACCCCACCTCACCCTGGCCAAGGTGCCCCACGGTTCCCAAGACCACCTCCTCAAGCCTGGGTTCTGTCTGAGCCAGGAGGCAGGTAGCCAGCCCTTGGGGAAAGTCTGGCTGTGCCGTATGGGAAGGGCAGGGGGCACCTACCAGCCCTTGGCTGAGATCCCCCTGGGGTGACCTTCCCAGACCTCTGGAGAAGACAAATTGGATCCAAACCACCTGAGGAGACACACTGGCCAAGCAGGAAGGACAAAACAGGAACGCAACACGCTCTCTCTCTCTCTAATTTTGGTTTCTCTCAAGCTTCCAAATGATGCTTAGTGCTCCAAGGAAAGAATGAAGGAAGGAAAGGGAGGAGAGGGGGGGAAGGGGAGGCAGAGGAGGAACATCTGGAAAAAAAGCAGCCTGACAGTCCAGCTGTTTGCAAACTCATAGCACATCCTCCAGTTACATGGCAGAAGAGGGAGGGAGGACCAAAAAGAAAAGGGGAGGAAGAAGAAAAATAACTTAAATAAACACACACAAAAAGAAAAGAGAAGGAAACATGACGTGAGCTGGTGATCCATGAAGGCAGGGGGGGTAACCGTTTTACCTGTGCTGAACCAAGGGAGGATGGGAAGCAGGAAGAGGGAGGGAGGGAAGGGGGAAAAAAAATCAGAAGAAACATTGGGGGCAGGGGAGGAGGGAAACGAAGACAACTTAATACAACTTGAGACGAGGCAGCCCGGCCGGCGAGGTCCCGCGATGGCCTCCGGAGTCCTCAGTGCAGTGTGGCGGCGAACTGGGTGCTGGCGTTGGCGTTTCTGGGGTGGGGGGCCGAGGGCGGGGCATAGTCTCTAAGCAGCTCCCCTCACCCCACGCACTGAGGCCCCAGAGAGCTGGGCAACAAGAGTCTGTGATGAGGCAGATGAGGCACAGGCGGTGGGCTGGTTTGCTGGGTGCCCCCGCTGCAGGCGGGCACGGCTGGACGGCCTGTCTTCTTTCCACTGGCCCCCCTGGCATGGGATAGGCCAGGGCACCAGGTCGGGTACCGGAGTACAAGCTCGAAAGAGAGAGAGAAAAAACACTGAGACAACATTAGTGGAGGTGAAAGGTGGACATGGACAAGCCTACAGACCATGCCCCCAACCCTCCGCTGTCCCACCCCTCCTCCCCCAACCCCATCCCTCTGAGGCAAAAAATAAAAATGTAGAAAAAAATCTCTGTACAGACTCCCCGGTGGGAAAACGGGGGCAGGGATGGTGGCTCTTCCTGGAGCCCACTCCCCACAAATTAATTTACAACCCAAGTCCATGGCTCAAAAACAAAATCCGCAAAGGCGGCGCTGGGGGCTGCAGCCCCTGCCGAAGCTTCCCACCCCGCCCCGGCCCCCATCCTCGCTGGGTGCTCAGAAGGCTGACAGCTGCGCCAGGCTGAGGCGGCAGTCGATGCTGGAGTTGTCCGAGCCCGTGTAGGCCAGGCCCAGGGGCTCTAGGAAGGCCCGGCAGGCGGCCTCGCCCTCGAAGGCCAGCTCGGCCTGCACGTAGGAGACTGGCAGCGCAGGGCGGAAGCTACGGAGACAAGAGGAGAAAGCGATGAGGCGGGCAGGCAGGGGAGGGCCCCACGAGAGGGAGTGAGGCCCCCCATTCGGGTACCCACAGGGCTTCCTCAGCACAGTACCTGCTGGCTCCCCTACCCCCTCCCTTCCTCCCCACCTCAGGGGCTCGGGGGGGCCCGGGGTGGGGTCAGTGGCCCCAGTCCCCAGCTGTGCCCCCCCTTACCCTCACTTACCTGCACAGGGGACCAGGAAGAGGGGACGGGAGGGGAAGGGCCCAGCGGGCTCCTCCGCTGGTGGAGGGGCAGGGCTAGACGAAGGGAGCAGCACCTGGCCAGGACCAGGCGAGGCAGGGTTGCCAAGACCACTCTGAGGGACCCCAGCCCTCAATGCTTTCCCTGCCGGGGTCCAAGTACCTTGGGGAACCCAGGTACAGGAGTGCAGGCCAGCACCCACCACTTCAAACTTAGGCAGTTACTTTGGATGCTAGCAAGAAACACTACAGGTGAGCACCTGGTATGTGCCAGGAAACAGCTGTCCTCAGAGCTTCCCAAAACTCAGTGGACGCTCTTTCACTGGATGTGTCTGCCCTACCCTTCCCATATTTAGGAAACAACACACATAAGCAGATGACACTAAACAATGGAACCCAGTTCTGCTCCAAGGCCTGAGCTTCGTCGAGGCCCTAGGCTGGAGGGAGTGTGGCTCCATTTCCCAGTCTGAGTTGGCCTGTAGCCACTGCAGTGGCACCACTCTGGGGACTGGGGCTGGGGAGGGACGCGCCTGCCACGGAATGGCAATGGCACCCTCCTAGGTGGGGAGACTCTTGAGAATGAAACATTGACAGATCAGAGCCTCACCCACAGGGGGCGCCTGTGGCTGTGTCACCAACCAAGACAAACTACACATAAAGGAATGAGAAAGTTCCCCAGTCACGTGTCCCTGTGCAGCACTGAAGCTTGGGAGATGCCCAGCATAAGCCTGGCAGGCCACAGGGGGCTGAGGGCCTCGCTGCCTCGTCCTTCCTCAACACCCCCCCGCCCCAGCTAGTAGAGTTCCACATCTTCTGCTCCAATGGCTCTTCCTACTCTGGCTCAGCGTCTCCCTCCACTCAGCTGGACCAAACCAGATCCCAGAATGAGTTTCCTAACCTTCAGGCAGAAGGTCCCTCCCTAGCTCCAAACCATTCTGTGACTACTACCTCCACGAGGAAAGGCCAGCTGGCCTGGCATTCAAGGTCCCTCAGGTTTACCGACCAAACTCTCTGACCAGGGTTGCTCAACCTGGGCAAGACTGACATCTGTGGCCCAGTGACTGTTGGGGGGCCATCCTGGGTGCTGCAGGATCTTTAGCAGCATCCCTGGGCGCTATTCACTAGATGTCAGTCACATTCTCTTGCTTTGACAACCAGAAAGTCTCCTGACACTGCCCAATATCCCCTGGGGTCCCCTCAATCCCCAGACTGAGCAGCATTTCTGCACCTCCCACAGCGAGGCACACGCAACGCCTGGTAAGGAGAACATGCTCAGTCAGTGAGGGCCAGCCTGGCCAGTGACCTTTCAGCATCACCAGTGTGGCCCATCACGTGTCTCCCTGGCACTCAGAGGAGCTGAGGGGATGGGGCCTTATCCTATTATGCCTGTGCCCCATCTAGTTAGTCTCTACAGTGTGGGGCAAGGGAGATGTGTGAAAGGCAGATAAGGACCTCGAAAGGAGGGAGCCCAGAATCCACAGGAAGGAGAAGATGAACTGGGTCCAGGAGGGGTGAGTGGGAGGAAGAAAAGCAGGGGTGGGGAGACAATAGTGGGAGGGGAAGAGGGAAGGGAGGAGGGACCCAGAGCACAGGAGTGTCATGAGGAGGGAAGCAGGAAGGCTGGAGAGGGGAGGGCTGAAGAAGAGGAGGGCCGGGAGGCGGCCGGGGCTGGGGCCTGGACAATGCGAGGTAGGAGGGCCGGAAGAGAGGGGGAGCTCAGCATCACATACGTTTTGATCATGGCCCTGAGGGCAGCCTTGCGCTCCCGGTCTGCAAACTTGTCCACGAGGTAGCCAGACATGCAGGGGGCATGACAATAGAGCCGGAAGAAGCGGTGGTAGTTGCCCAGGGCCCAGGCTGCCCTCAGTGCCAAGGCGTGGGCCACGCAAGGGTCCGCCTTCAGTTCCCGTGTGAGGTACGCCAGTTCTGTTGTGATGTCTAAGGGCATGAGACATGAGGGTCAGGGAGGCAGGGCTCTGCCCTAGGCCCTGTGGTCTCCATTGCAGGGACTGGGCCTCACCTCCTGAGTTCTTGGTGAAGATGTAGTAGAGGATCCGGTAGGCAGTAAACTCGCCCACGTTGCCAGGTAAGTTCTCCGCGTACAGTGACTTGAGCTGTGTCTGGCACTGGTTGAATTCTTCGTGGTCCCCCTAGAAGGCACAGGCATGGAGAGAGGAGGGCAGAGTAAGGTTATGAGGTAGAATGGTGGCAAGCTGGGGAGAGCCAGGGAGGCCCAGGGCGGCCCTCGCACCTTCTCCAAGGCGATCCGGGCATGGGTCTCATACACCTCCACCGTGAACTCGGTGCGGACGCCTTGCACCTGGACAGTGGGGAGACAATGAGCCAGGGGCAGCAGCAGGACAGCCATGGCCACTCCCCTCCCAGCACGAGGCTCACCGTCAGGTCCTGCCGGATAGACTTCATCTGCTCACAGGCAAAGGCATAGTCCTGCTTTTCTTTCCAGTGGGACTTGACCATGCACAGCGACTTTTTCAAAACCTGGGAAGGGAATCAAGTTAAACAACTTAGGGAAAGAGCACAAAATGCTAAAACCCATTACATTCCTACTAATTCGATGTTTTTAAAACAAGAGTTGCCTGAAATAAAGAGAACACTCATTGCTGATCACCTGCTAAAAAAAAAATCAGAGTTGTAACATTAGACCCATGTTTAGTGACTCACTACCAAGATTAAAAAACAAAAAACAAAAACCCAATACAGGTTAAGAGTAAACAGCCTGTGCCTGTTTCCCATATAAGCACAGGGCTGTCTGTGAGTCCTGGGCAGAACCGTGGCTATACTGCTACTGCAGAGCTCAACCGAGACAGAGGGCACAGCCACTCCACTGGCCCAGAGGTCAAGGGCTTCTCCAGTCAAGCTGGGTCCCCAGGTGTGCAGGGCCTACCGGGTGGGGTCTTCCCCAGGTCTGGCCTCTATCAGCCTCCATGGGTAGCCCCACTTCAGAGTGGATCTGACACTTACTGCCACAGGGCGTACTGTGGAAGGGTCGGGGGCACAGGTGAGACGCAGGTAGTGCTTGGTGATGTCGGGGCAGGTGCCCACGATCTGCAGCTCCTGCCAGTCAGGGTCAGCCCCGCTGCTCTCCAAGCTGCCCATCTGCAGCACCAGAGGCTCGAGGCGCAGGCGGCGGGAGTGTCCATGCTGGAAGCGAGCTGCTCGCTTCTGCTTCTTCAGCTCACGCTCAGGGTCTTCACACTCCAGGGCCGCCATCTTTTTTCGGCTGCGCTTGGTGGGTGCTAGATCATGCCTAGGAAGGGATAAGGGGTGGTGAAGAGGCAGGCATCTCTGGCCTGCCCTGCATGCCCCCCCTCCCCTGCCTTTTCATCGTCATCCTCCTCCTCCACTTCTACCGCTTGGGCCCGCAGTACCCTCTTGCCCTGGCCTGTGACCCAAGCCCCAACCCAGTCTCACCTCTTCCCACGCTGTGCCCTGCCTCGGCCCCGATCCATGTGGGCCCCTCGACCACCACGGCCCTTGGGGGCTGGGTTCCTGCGCCCCACAGGGTGACACTCATTCCCTGAGTAGGAACTGTCGGAGTCCGAGTGAGAGTCACTGCATGAAGAGGCAGGAAGGTCAGGCCTGAAGCGGGCCTCCCCCAGACCGCCCTCCAGCCCAGAGCCCTGCAGCTGTGGCACCTTCTGCGGAAGTGGCGGGTCGGGGACCGGGAGGAGGAACGGGAGCGGGAGTCTGTGCTGGAGGAAGAACTGTTGTCCTTCATGAAGACGTTGCGGTTGCCAAACTTGGTGAAGCTGCTGCCCCGGGCTCGGCCAGCACCCCCAGCCCCTGGCGTCCCTCGCTGGGACTGGGCGCCCCCGCCCCTTGTCGCTGAGCCTGCCCCCCTAGGAGGGTGAAGGCTGCCAGGGTCCCACCGCTTCTTCTTGGGGCTCTCAGCCACAGGCTCCCGGGTCAGTCTGAGTATACAGCAAGGCAGGGCATCATCAGCGCAGCGGGATGCCAACAGAATCCAAGACCCCATGCCTCCCCACCCGCCAATCCATCAAGGTTGCACCACCTCAGGAGGGAAAGGTACTTACCAGGCAGCTCAGCTAATATGGGCAGAAATGGGATGCAAGCCCTAGGTTTTGTGTCCAAAGGGTGCTCTTAACCACTGAGCCACACACACCTCCTCTGGATCTGGCCCCGTCCCACCCTAGGATTCCAGCCTCAGCCACACCTGGGCCTCTTCCCCACCTGACTGGCCTCCCTCCAAACAGGACTTCATCCCCCCGGGATCCACTATTCTGGTTCACTTCTTTTTGGGGCTCCTGATAGTTAATACATCAAGTCTTCAACCTGGTATGAGCTAATCCGGAGCTGCCCTACCCTCCCACCATGGAACCAGCGCAAACTAACCCTGGAAGAGGTTCCCGGCTCCAGTCGATGGTATAGGCCGAGCCATCCTGCAGCCGGGCCTGCAGCACCTCCTTGAGCAGCTTTTCCGTCCGGTCCTTGTCTTCCTCCGACTCACAGGCAGTGAAGCAACGCTCCACATACTCCTTCATGTCTTGGGGCCAATCATCCGGCTTCCCGGACAGGTTTCCCCGGGCAGAAGACCCACTGTGGGAAGGGCAAATGAGAAAACTCGCTGAGGAGGAACCCAAACCCAAGCAAAAGCCATCACCAGTACCACTCTGAGCCGACACAAGTGCCAGATATAATCCAAGTCTTTGTTTTTCTCTGTCATTCAGTGCTCACAGCAACCCCAAGGGAGGGTCCTTCTTCCCTTTCCAGAGGAGCACAAGGCTCTGGGTGGGCAGGTGGGCAGTTGGCCAGAGGGACTGGACCACAGATGCTGAGTACAGAACGGCTGGGATGGGGTGGGGAGATAGACACACCTGTGGTTCTGGGCTTTCTCTGGGTTAGACTGGGGGCCGAAACTGCTGTGCTGGCTCTCAGTGCTGGAGCCGAAATTCTGGTTGGTGACAGCAAAGGGCCGCTTCTGGATGTTGAACTTGAGACCTCCAGTCCCAGGGGCGGCTGTAAAGGCAGAAAAGCAGGGCTTAGGCCTTTCCCCGGCATACCCAGGGATTCACAGGGCACACACAAAGAGCGCTTCAAGGGTGGCAGGGAGAGGGATTCAGGCATGGGAGAGGCCATGTTACAGGAAAGGGCTCCAGCACCAACAAGTCAATTCTGGAGCGGCCTCATCCCAAGCATCCAGAAATAAGGGCCCACACACCCTACATGCCCCCCATCTAGTCTCTGAGGGTCCCAATCCCAACCCCTCAGGACTCCATGCAGCTCTGTCCACTTACGTTTCATGCGGTTCCATAGTTGCTGTCCCTTCTTGGGCTTGGCAGGCTCGGTATAGGGGTGTGGCCCATAGGCTTGGCCCGAAGCGGGCCCTGCCTGGCTGTGCTGTGTGGCTGGGGCCGTCCCAGGCTGAGGACCACTGCTCAGAGCATGAGCCCCGTGCTGGGGGTTTGCAGGCTGAGGGGGCTGGGCTGCTGGTAGCTGCTGCGGGGGAGCCTGGTAAGACATGCCCTCATCCATGCCAGGGACTGGGGGCTATGGGAAGAAGTAGGCGCTAAGCACAGAACAGAGCACTGGTGCTGACCCTCACAGCCCCAGTATGTGGTCACGCATTCTCCTGCCAGCAGCACTCAGCTCACAACACCATGTGACCGTCCCACATGTCACCGCTCTGAGTCCTCAGGAACTCCAAGGGAAGCCCATTTATTAACAACCCTTTCCACAGTTGAGAAGACTCAGCTCAGGGAAAGTGAGCAATTTTCCCAGGTCCCAGCTGTCGGACGGCAGTTGGCAGTGTCATTCCCTGGAGAGACACCCACCAACATACACCCACTCCAGCGGCTCTTGAACAAGCACATCCAGACACATACATGAGCACAAGCACACGCAGGAACCCAAAGACCCAGCTACCATCCTGCCTGCTTTCAAGAGTTGACTGAGACGTAGAGGTCATGTGACTTCTAATTCAACAGAGTGGGCAAGCTGGAATTCAAACCCAGGTCTGCCCACCTTCTGTGTACTAGCCTCATTGTTCCCTCGAGCTGGACTTTAAATGCAAAGCCACCTCATGTGTGTGCACGCACATGTGGATGCATGTTTGGGGGAAGAGGAACGTGTCCACCATCTCCCAATACCTCACTCAGCCCCTGGATTTTCCCAAGCCCTGCTCTCCCTTCTAAAACTATGTTTGCCACCCCATTTTCGGATCAGAAGTTACTTGGAGGAAAAAAGGAAGCTTGGCTAGTACAGGCGATTCCCCATTGACAGCCCGTTCAAGAAATGATATTCCACTGTCTGCGCATGACACAAGGCTGGGCTGAGGCATCACCTGGTTCAGAGTCCCTTGGTGCTGGGGTGCTGACGGCTGCTGGGGTGTGGCTGAGCCGTAGGAGCCGGCCATCCCATACTGGGAGGGGGAGCCGTAGCTCTGGTACATGCTCTGCAAGGACGCAGAAGGAAAGGTTAGTGGCCAGCAGAAACTCGATGGCTCACCAGCCACGACCACACACTGACAAATGTGCCAAGTCCTCTCCATTAGTAGAAAAAAGAAGAAAAACCTCTGTCAGCCCCACGTCCCACCTACGCTGTTTCTCAGGAGAATCTACTCAACTCATACTGAGTGACAGTCTCTCTTAACACTACGCTAGAACAAGAACGAGACGGCAAAACTTCATGCTCTCCAGAAGCCTGTGCTCAAAGTCTATGCACACTGCAGACATGAGCGTGTAGTATGTCCAAAACAAGCCCCATGAAAGAAAGGCAAACGAAAGGAATAGAGGGACAGGCTGAGGTTGACAGGGGACAGGTCTTGGCAGGTGCCTAGCTGACAAAGGCAGACTCAGCATGCTAGGACATCAGGGGATTCTGCCCAGATCAGCAGGAGCTTGGGGGTCATGAGAGGGACCTGGGGATCCTCCCACAGCCAAGCACTCACCACAGGATAGTAGTAGCCATAGGGATAGGCGTAGCTGTACTGCTGGTACCATTGGTAGTACTGCTGCTGCTGCAGGGCTGAGGCTTCTGCCTGCGCCACGAACTGCAGAGATGGAGGCCAGGCCATCAGGGGCGGTGGTCCCAGCACCCAGCATTCCAGGGCAGGCACTTGGCAGGAGCCCAACCCCTGGGGTGTAGCACTGGGCCTATATCTCAGCCGAGAGTGCCGTGGTCTCTGCCAGCAGCCCCAGGCACCTGAGGGACCAGGGCACAGTCTCTCTCTTTGGAGACCTGGATCCCTGAGGCAATGGATCTTTTTTGCTCATCAGACCTAAATCCTAGGGACTCTTTTTGTGTCTGCCCTCAGAGCTTCCATCTCAGTGCCACAAAAGGACCCCAAGTTCCGTCCCTCCCACAGCAGCCCCTTCCATGTGCCCTTCTCACTTGTGCACTGGCCATGGGCCCATTGCTGCTGGCCTTGGCAGAACTGCCAGCGGCCCCAGCTTTGCTGATGCTGGCCAAGGCCTGGCGGGCCTTCTCCCACTCCGGGTTCTCGTGCATCGGGGTCTCCATGCCATTCTCTCTGCCTGCCCCGGCCACCATGCCGTACTGGGAAGACCTGCAGAGAGGGGACTCAATCACATCTGTTCTTCCCACTGGGCACAGAAGGGCAAGGGAGGAGGCAACTTCCAGGCCCTAATTCCCAGGTCTAACTCTAGCTACCTATCCGAGCCTCAGTGTCCTAACCGGCGCGATGCTGATAACCAGTGTCTACTTCAAAGCATTCTGTCAGGAATAAATGAGATCACCTATGTAAGGCACCTACCCCAGTGCCTGGCACACAGCAGTTGTTGAAATCAAACAAAAACAATGACCAACACCCACAGAATTTAACATAAGACCTAGTACCTTGGAAAGTTGCATCTTTTAAGAATCAAAAAACTCTGTCTCCTACTGCCCTAGTCAATAAGTTATCACACTGGGAAGAAGTAAGGAATCAGCAGAAAGACAAATGACTGGGTGTTGAGTGTTGGAGCTGCCTCCTAATTACAGATGCTTGAGTGAACTATTCTAGTTCTGTGAAACAAGAGCTGAACCCTGAGAAATGAAAGTTCCAAGGTGAAGACCTACACCACACCACCACCAAGTGCTTCCCCCACCCAAAAAACACTACACCACTTTCCCCTAAGGCTAGGTCCCACCCCAAAAGATTCCTCTTTCCCTCCCCAGTTGGCCTCTGTCCCTATGGCCACACTAACCAATCCGTGCTACGTTGATCACCCACGTTGGCCGCCATCTGGACCCTGGGGCGTAAGGGGTGGACCTCGGGAGCCAGACTGCTTTTTCACTGTCTATGGGAAAAAGAGTGAATTAGGGAGGCTCAGGAAGGAGCTGAAACCATGTCATGAAGTGGTGAGAGAGGCAGACGGACTAACGAGAAGTCAGGCAGAAAAGAAAGTCTGAGACACAAGGAGCCACTGGGGTGAACAATCTCTAGAGAATTCTGGGTGGGGACAGAAAAGGTGAGGGTGTAGACGCCCTGGCCTCCTTGTAGTGCTCCAGGGGAAAACAGGAGCCTGAAAGCAGGGAAGCCTGAAGGGACTTCGCAAAGAGAAAAAGAAGGGTATGAAATTTACATGAGAAAAGAGAGGACGTGAGGGAAACCCCAAAAAAGGTAAGGAGAAGGTCTGGAGGATGGAGGACCACAGTCGTCGGCTGTGAACTCTAAGAAGCGTTTCAGAGAGAGTGTGGGCTGTGAAAGGCAGCAGGAGAAAGACGATGCATTAACAAGCCAAGTCTTGGCCGGGCTCAGTGGCTCAGACTGTAATCCCAGCACTTTGGGAGCCCACGGGTTCAATACCAGCCCGGGCAACTTGGCGAGACCGCGTCTCTACAATACATCAAAAATCAGCCGGGTGCGGTAGTGCAAGCCTGTAGTTCCAGTTACTTGGAAGACTGAGAAGAAAGGATCACTGGAGCCCAGCGGGTCAACTCCGGGGTGGCCGAGAGCGTGCCACTGGACTCCAGCCTGGGCGAAGGAGTGAGAACCGGACGCAAGGCCGGGGACTCGGGGATCACCTGGCCGTCTCGCGGGCCGGGAGGAGGCCGCCAGGTGCAGGAGGCCGCAGGGATCCCCACGACCGGCCCAGGAGCC